ATTTTTAAAGACGAGGCAGAAACTGAAATTTTTGAAGAGGCGGAAAAATTTTAAATCGCTAACATTTTTTGTAAACGGTGATTTGTGAATTTATTTCTATGACACATATCTAATTCCAAACATAATTTATTCATAAATAAATATTCGTAGAAGATTTCCACATATGACGTCCATAGAAATGAAAAAAAAATTAACGTAAACATTTCGTGATTTAATTAAAATTTTCAAGTCACCGGCTTTTTCCATGGCATGTCGCATCATCTTTTACCATCATCCACGCCCCAAGGAAAATCCATTCAACCTGTAGGAAGGGAAATAACCCATGAGTTTGAAATTTAATAGATATCATTGGTGCATTTTGTTATCAAATTAGAAATTTTGAACTATAGATTAATACCGTCGCACGTAGATGGATTTTCAGCAAAACACATAGAGTCGGAGAATGATCATTCAAACTGCTGTAGTGCTGAAGCATCGTACCCGAAGGTGCCATTTCATTCAAATATTTATCGAAAAATCATAATTTGAAAACGAAATAAACACTTGCACATCTACCTACCTTGAATTTTCTTGGATATAAAAGATCCAAATGTGTAAAAAACATTTCTTCTTCACACCCTTGTTATTCCTTAAGCTTAACTTGACATGAAGTATATTTGAGAGAAAATAAGAGTAAATTCGAATTTGAGGAGAGGTGTAATGAAAAAGTGACCTTCATTTTCTTGAAATCTTCCTTTTTAATGAAAAACTAAATAGAGTGGTTGTATATTCATTAAATTTGTTAAATTTGGTCTTTGACTATGAATTTCAAGAGTTTCTACGTCCAAAGAATTAATTCATAGAAAAAGTTTTATAAAAATATCTATATGGTGATTCTAACTTAGGTTGCCTATATGAAATACCTACATGACCATTGAGGCTACCCAGTTATCCATTAAATCTTTGTAATCAAATTTACTTAAACTTAATATCTTAAATTGTTGGGTTTTTAATTAACTTATGGCTTGAGCTTTCATAATCTTAAATGCGTTGAGCTTCCATAGCTCGTTTCTTAAATGGGCTAGGCTCGTGGTGTTAGATCATCACAAATAATAGCCTAATTTCATTTTATTCCTCGGGCTTCTATAAGAGTGCTTTGATCTGTGAGTTTCAAAAGATGCTTCTCCATTGCAATATCCAACCCCAAAAGACATAGTGCTAATTATATGTCTCATTTCCATCTCATATAATTATTCTCAGTCAAGGTTTCTGTTCACGAAATATTTTCTTTCGATTTAAACTGTCGCAAGTGTACGGTTCGTTAACAAGTAATAAAATAGATAAGTTGAGTCCGAATATCGTCCCACAGAGATTGATTTAGTTCAATATTATTTATCCAAACCTTAATCGAATTTAAATGATCAATTATGAGTTTTTGTCCTAAGAAATCCTAAATTTAAGCTAAAATACCAATATTATAAATTGGATGGTATAATATGCAAAACAATGTTTAAATTAACTAAAATGCAATTTGATGATCGAGGCGCAGGTTAAATGTATTCAATGAATGTGAGATATACTAGGATCACAAATTTCCAAGTAATGTTCAATTTAACCTTCATTCCACACTTTGACAACACAATGAAATTTTGAAGAATCAATACTCCTAAATCTATCCAACACTCTCTCTAGAGATGAATTGTAACTATTCTCATACACCGCCAGCCTATATCTTTATGACGGATGCAAATATATGAGAATGCATGTAGTTTTGTGAGTACTTAGAGATTCATGCAAAGCATATGGGTATATTTCTATTCCTTATCGGACCTTACGATGTACCTTGTTGAATTTATTCCTCTTCTTTCGAATAGATGAAACAAACCACCATAACTCACACAATTACAGGCCCATAGTCATGGAAGCAATTAAATACATATAAATCATTCAAAATAATCAATACGTGTTTTAATGTGGAAAATATGGAACAAAGAATTAAATATCAAATTACAAAGTTCATCGATCTCCCTGTATAGATTTTTTTAGCCTAGCATGATGGGAAGAAGAACACAACAATAAAAATCAAGAAAACACATCACCCTATTGAATTCTTGAAGGAAGGTCTTGAATCTTGGATTGAATCATCTTCTTCTTCCTTCTTCTTTTTCTTCAAATCTTCCCAAAATAATAATATAATGCGTGGTCTTTATTTTTGGACGTCCCTAGTGCTTTAAAAGACTCCCTAAGATTTGTTTCCATAAGAATTTCGTTAAAAAAAAAGAAACCAGATTTTCTCGCCATGATTGGCTTAGGCTGTCGCCCAGGCAAAACTCGGGCAATTGCTCAGGCTAAGAATTTCTTCTTGGTAATTAAAAAATCATGTTGGGCGATCGCTCGGTATGTGTAACTGGGCTGTCGTCCAAGCAAAATTTCTTCCATATGTTGCATTTTAGCCCCCCGAAGTAGATTTTTAATTCTTTCAAGTCCTTTCTCTTGCATTTTCAAACTTTGACTTTTAATTGCATCCAATTGAGCCTGTAACATTTTTAATCTTCATTTTTTGATCCAAATCAACTATTGAAATGTTGCAACTTAGTCCTCATACTTTGGATTTTCTTCCTTTTTGGTTCTTTTTCGTTTATTTTCTCTTGAATTCTACCACATTCATCAATATAGTCCTACAAAACATAATTACATAGAATTAAGCCATAATTCAAACTCTTTGATTATAATTAAGTCATGTTTGTGAACTAAATAAAAACGCACTTATAAAACCCCCCAAAACTTGAAATGTTGTTTGTTCTCAAACAAGATAGTGGCTCAATACTAAACAAACATGTCTTAATAATCTGTCGTGTCTCGGGATTGGACTAAGTATTTGACTTCAAAAAGAAAATTGATTAGTGCAAGAATGAAATCAAACTTTACCTGTTAATTGCATACCCGACGTTCGTGTGTGAATTCATGCTAACATATTTAGTTCACGATGGGCTTAGTCCCGACCCAAAGCGGTCAAATCTGTCCTTACTTCGCTCGAGAGGTACACAACCCCCCAAACTTATTCTTTTCACTCAGTTATCCTGGAGTTGTGTTTTAAAGTTATGATTTTTGGTAACTGCAGTCCTTGCCCTCTCTTAGTTTGGATAGATCTCAGTATCACAAGTTCACATATCAACAAATGAAGGCTCTCCAGATATGATTGCTTCAACACTTAAGATTAAACTAAGTTACTAGGCTCGCCTCAAAGGTGTAGTTTCTTCAACCAAATGTCCAAGGGCCTCTTGATGTTATCGTGTCTTTTCTCACTTATTTTCTGATAAAAAAAAATTTGTCATCTTCTCATTTGCTTTCTGTACAACCCCTATAGCGAGCTTTAGGCTGATGACTCCCAAACCAGTTGGCTTAAGGGCACTAGATTTTGAAATATCCTTACAGGCTTACTTGCTCGAATCATAAAGGCATGGAAAAAGGTGTCATGATTTTACAAGTTATATTTATGCCTTTTATTATTTTTTTAGACATTTGGCCTCCAAAACCAACCCTCAATTTAAGATTTTCAACTAATTTTCACCTCACCAGTCTAGGCAATCCACACAATAGAATTCATGCATAGAGCCCCATTTATCTCAGTGCTTTCCTATGATTGCTCAACCATCTCCAAACCGTCTTAAGGTGGTTTACTATTTGATTTAGTAGAGAATTATCATTCTTCTCCTACTTTATGTTCAAAACCCCAGTCACTAACCTAACATATTGAGCATGAGTGGCATGTATAAAGAATATCAAGTATTACATCAATAAGTATTGGTTAATCTATTCAGCACCATATCCACAGTTTGTAATTTATACCAGTCCAATAATCACATCATAGCTGTCAAGGCTATCAAGCTCACACAAGCATGCAAGAATGGAAATACAGCAAACTGAATGAAATGCAAAGAATTTTTTTTTAACACTCATCAAGCACATAATATGCAGTCATGAAACATAGATATTGATGAATATAGGTAAAATGATAAAAAGATGTTCGTGTCCAAGATTATGTCACCCACTCCCAAACTTCGATAATACATTATCCTCAATGTGAAGATGAAATAAATGTGTAAACAAACATAACTGAAGGACAATAATAAACTAAAAGTGCAAGATGGGATACGAATACTCCCATGATCTATATGGAGGTGGTGAATGAAAACTAGGACCCACAATTTTTCTCATTTCCCCGTGACATTCTTTTGGTGGCATCCTGTAAAAGTGCAAAGTATGCGTATTAGTTCACATGGTGTAAACTGATGCAATTGAGGTAAGAAATAAACTACGTAGTGCACAAATCTCCCAAACTTGCTCCAAGGTGCATGTGTACATTGTTGGTGTGTAGAATGCATAATTTATGTCTCAACATAGAGTTTATATCACAAAAATGTGAATCACCAACAAAACTTCACTCAAAACATGCACTTTGTTCAATTTGACACATGACTGACTAAAATAGAACTTCAACCTCATGACTCGTGCTATGTGCATTGGGATTCATGTGGACTATGCCTAGACTCCATGTGATAGGGATGTATGATTGATGACCTAAAACTATTGATAATGCTAAAAATGAAAAATTCATAAACTATTGAAAAATGAAGTAAATGAAAGGATAGAAACGTTGGGTTGTCTCCCAACCAGCGCTATTTTATAGTCGATGGCTCGACTTTTGGCATAGGTGTATTATGGAACTTTAAACATGGCTTGGGAGGTCCTACGTAGTTTGTTCAATATGGTCTTGTTTCGCATTGCAGTTATCCTCCACACTTCAAACCTGTCATTTTCCAAGTGGTGTGACTCTCCCTCATCATCTGTTTGAGACTCCATGGTGTATACCTCGATCTCCTTTGAGTCAATAAGAGTGGATTGAGGGTGCATCATATCGACCTCCTGAATGTCTGACGATTTCTTCAACTCGTAATTGTAAGGGATTTATATGTCAATCGCATCAATCTGGAAATAGGTGTCTGGCTCGGTGGGATATTTCATTGCCTTGAAAACATTAAAAGAGACTTGCTCCTTCCCAGTCTTAGAGTCAATTGTCCTTGTTGCACATCTATGAGAGCTCTTGCAGTTACCAAAAATGGTTGCCCCAATATGATAGGCATGTCCTTGTCTTCTTCCATGTCCAGAATTAAGAAGTCCGCTGGGAATATAAGTTTATCAACTTTGACCAATACATCTTCGATAATCCCTCGTGGATGTGTAAATAATCGATCAGCCAACTGTAGAGTTACTGTAGTTGCTTTAGGCTCTCCCAATCCCAGTTTCCTGAAAATAGAGAGTGGCATCAAGTTAATACTCGCACCAAGATCACACAATGCTTTATTAAAATAAAAATCACCAATTGTGCAAGGAACAGTGAAACTCCCTAGATATTTCAGTTTTTGTAGGAGCTTTTTCTAGATCTTGGCGCTGCTCTCTTCGGTTAACATCATCGTTTCATGTTCCTCTAGCTTACATTTATTTGTTAAGATATCCTTTAGAAAATTGGCATAGCTAGGCATCTGGAGTAGTACATCGACGAACAGGATATTGATGTAGAGCTTTTTAAAGATTTCGAGGAACTTCTTATATTGCTGCTCCATCCTATGCTTCCTCAACCTCTAGGAAAATGGAATGGGTGGCTCATAGGGGTTAACTGAAATGTTGGCCTTACCCAGTGAAGTCTCTGAATTCTCCTTTGGTGTGGATTCATGTGTCCGCTCGTCTTGCTGTACAATCTCTTCTTCTGTAGATAATGTTGTCTCATTGTTTACACTCGGCCTCTCAACGTGTCTTTCAGGTAGTTGCATCCCACTTCGAGTTGTGATCGCTTGAACATGCTCCCTAGGATTCAACTCAGTATTACTTGGTAACGTATCTATGCCCTTTTCGTCATAGCGAGTGCCATCTGTTCCATCTGCATATCCAAGTTTTTAATTGCAGCACTCGATTTTGGAGAGTAGTTTCAGTTTTCCTTATGAATTGGTTATTTGCTTCTATGTATTTTTCAGTCTTTTCCATGAACTCCGCAAACATCTCTTCCAATTGAAGTGTTTTCTCCTGCTGAAATTGCCTCTGGGATCTATTCTAATTTTGGGTACCACCCCATGAGAGATTTCGATGTTCTTTCCAATTGGGATTGAAAGTGTCTGAATTTTGATAGTTTTGTTCATGTTGACCCCATTGTGCATACTCTATTTGTTCCATTCCTTGTGACAGAATTGGGCATTCTGTCGTACTATGATTCGCTCCACATTCTTCACAATTTGGTTTCCGTGAATATGTTGCATTTGCTGACTGTGATATGCTTTCCACCTTTTGAAATAGTGAGTCAATCTTTGCTAATAAGACTGAATATGCATCTACCTCATAGACACCCGGAGGCTTCTTCTGAATCACTCGCTCAGAGGACCACATAGCTGAAGTGGTAGCCATTCTCTCAAATAATTCAAGTGCTCCATCAATTGTTCGTGTGGAAATTGAGACATCTGATGATGAGTCTACCATGCTTATGAAGTACGGGAATAACCCTGTATAGAAGAATCGGATTTGGGTCTTTTTATCGAACCCATTTTGAGGGCACTTCCGGAGCATGTTTTTGAATTTATTCCATGCTTCATTAAATGATTCAAATTCCCCTTGACTAAATATCAATATCTCATGCCTCAGTTTCACTATCTTGGTTGGTGAGAAGAACTTCGTACAGAATTTATGAGCCAGCTCGTTTCAAGTAATGATGCTTGCAATAGGAAGCGAATCCAACCATTCAAGTGCCTTATCCCGTAGCGTATGTGGAAACAACCTTAGCCTAATAGCATCATCAGAAATTCCTTGATACATGAAGTGTTGACACATATCCAAGAATTGAGATATGTGTGTATTTGGATTTTCTTCGGCTCTGCCATAGAATTGGTGTCCATTCGGGAAAAGATGTATCACATCAGTCTTTAATTGAAAATTAGGTTGCCCAAACGGTGGATACACTATACTAGACTGGTTTTGAATTACTTGAGGAGTCAAGAAATCTCCCAAAATCTCATTTCCTTCGTCTACCGCCTCTCTTTCGTTAGCTGGGATAATAGAGTTGTTCGGTTCGTTAGCCATTTGCAATTGTGCTTCTCTAGTCTCTCTTTGCAGTCGATGAAAAGTGCGCTCAATTTTAGGATGAGCTGGAATAAATTCTCCTCCAGTCGATCTTGGCATGCAACTCTACGAGAAAATCGGTAGTAGCACTCAAATTCAAACAAACTGAATAACTAAACAAAATAAAATAAAATAACCTAAAAAGATGAAAAAAAAAAAGAAATTAAAAATTAAAGTTCGAATTAGTGCCTAGAAAAATAAAATCAAACTAATGTTCAATCCCCGACAACGGCGTCAAAAACTTGTTCACTAAAAATTTTTTTTTGATTTAAACCACCGCAAGTGTACGGTTCATTAACAAGTAATAAAGTGGATAATTTGAGTCCGAAAATCAGATTGATTTAGTTCAATGTTATTTATCCAGACCTTAATCGAATCTAAATAATCAATTATGAGTTTTTGTCCTAAGAAGTCCTAAATTTAAGCTAAAGTACCAATATTATGAATTGGATGGTATGATATGCAAAACAATGTTTAAATTAATTAAAATGCAATTTGATGTTTGAGACGCAGGTTAAATGTATTCAATGAATGTAAGATATACTATGATCACGAATTCCCAAATAATGTTCAATTTAACCTTAATTCCACACTTTGACAACGCGATAAAATTTTCAAGAATCAATACTCCTAAATCTATCCTACACTCTCTCTCGAGATGAATTGTATCTATTCTCATAGACCATCAGCCTATATCTTTATAACAGATACAAATATACGAGAATACATGTAGTTTTGTGAGTACTTAGATATTCACGCAAAGTATAGGGGTATATTTTTATTCCTTATCGGACCCTACGATGATTTATACGTTGTCGAATTTATTCCTCTTTTGAATAGATGAAACGAACCACCAAAACTCACACAATTACGAGCCCATAATCATGAAAGCAATTAAATGCATATAAATCATTCAAAATAATCAATACGTGTTTTAATGTGGAAAATATGGAACAAAAAATTAAATACCAAATTACAAGGTTCATCTATCTCCCAGTATAGATTTTTCTAGCCTAACATAATGGGAAGAAGAACACAACAATAAAAATCAAGAAAAAACATCACCCTATTGAATTCTTGAAGGGAGACCTTGAATCTTGGATTAAATTTTCTTATTCTTACTTCTTCTTTCTCTTCAAATCTTCCCAAAATAATGTATAATGCGTGGTCTCTATTTTTGAACGTCCCTAGGGCTTTAAAAGACTCCCTAAGATTTGTTTCCATAAGAATTTCATTCAGAAAAGAAAACCAGATTTTCTCGCCGCGATTGGCTTGGGCTGTCACTCAGGCAAAACTCGAGCAGTCGCTCAGGCCAAGAATTTCTTCTGGATAATTAAAAAAAATCATGTTGGACGTCGCCCAATATTTATAACTTTGCTATCGCCAAGACAAAATTTCTTCCAGATGTTGCATTTTAGTCCTCGAAGTTGATTTTTTATTCTTCCAAGTCCTTTCTCTTGCATTTTCAACCCTTTAACTTTTAATTGGATCCAATTGAACCCGAAACATCTTTAATATTCATTTTGTGATCCGAATCAACTATTGAAATGTTGCAATTTAGTCCTCATACCTTAAATTTTCTTCCTTTTTAGTTCTTTTTCGTTTCTTTTCTCTTGAATTCCACCACATTCATTAATATAGTCCTACAAAATATAATTACATAGAATTAAGCCATAATTCAAACTCTTTGTTCATAATTAAGTCATGTTTGTAAATTAAAAAAGTGTATAAAAACAGGCTTATCAGTTTCCATAGCAGACAATTGACTCGAAAAAGATGAGACATTTGAAACTGTGGAAATATAAAATATCATATTTAATATCATCCAAACATAATGTATGCAGTCAATGGATGATAAAATATCCATCTCATTAACATAGATTATTAATTAGATAATCCGTAACTAAATCCAAAACCATATGAATCTTATTACGATAAAAGTCTAAATGCATCATTATAAAGTCGACTTTGGGTTGACAATACAACATTCTATAAGGTACTCTTAAAACACATTATGAAGCTAATTAACAAAATCTCATTAATTTTCAAAACACTAACACCTTTAGGCAAAAGAAAATTTCTAGATCAGAGTAAGCTTGTCAATTGTCTTATGCCATTTTTCATAAAATCATATACAATACCACATTTGGACAAGATACGATATGCAATAATTCAAAAATACAAAGCCAACGCCTTTTTTGTAAAGAAAATCGAATAAATAAGTATGCCACTTTGGCAGCTACCATCCACTTTTATTTTAAAATGTTTCTTTTAATAGAAAAACAAGAATAGTCTTAAAGCCCATGAAAAGGTTCAATCACAATGTTTTGAAAATCGATCCGAGCATTGACCTGGAAAAGTGAGAGGATCAAATGGTCGAACCGAAAATAATATAATTAACAAAATAAATTATGCCCCCGTTTGGCCCCCATTCTTTATAAATTTTAATTATTGGAATAGTGTTTTTTTTTAATTATGTGGTTAAAAAAGAATTGAAAGTTTTTTATTTGCATACAATATTATTTTAAGAAAAATAAAGAAAAATGTTAAGAAAGAGAATGAGGGCCAAACGGGAGCATAATGTTTATATGTATCATATTAAAATTTTATATCAAATGAAAGAGTATTTTTATTATTTATAATTTAACGTCCCATAAATATTTTAATACTCATTTAACATCAAGTTAATACTAAAAGGGCCCATGTGACATAGAATTAAATAGACCTAAATAAAGAGTCAAAACCCTACATGCATCTAAACCTGTAAACCATACTTTCTTGCCATCAATTTGAGAGAATAAGAAAGACACCTCTCTCCTGTTTTACAGGCCCTTTTTTATTATTATTATTATTTTTTTTTTTTTTTTTTTTTTTGTTTTTTTTTTTTTTTTTTTTTTTGTTTTTTTTTTTTTTTTTTTTTTTGTTTTTTTTTTTTTTTTTTTTTTTGTTTTTTTTTTTTTTTTTTTTTTTGTTTTTTTTTTTTTTTTTTTTTTTGTTTTTTTTTTTTTTTTTTTTTTTGTTTTTTTTTTTTTTTTTTTTTTTGTTTTTTTTTTTTTTTTTTTTTTTGTTTTTTTTTTTTTTTTTTTTTTTTTTTTTTTTTTTTTTTTTGGGTTTGCCGGCTGCGGAGAAACAAAGAAAAAGGTAGATGATAGAAACCTAAATTGACTCCAATACCTTGAATTGTCGGCTGGAAATCGGGATTGAAAACTAATAATTCCAAAACTTTCACTTGGTGGCTGGAAGTCAAAATTAAAAACTTAAAGCTTGTTCGACAGCCTTTCTTTAGCAGTAAAATAATGTTTTGTACAGTAATCGTGGGTCCTTTGCTTCCTTTTTGCAGTCAGGGGCAGGTGATTATTAGATAACACAACACTGTTAAAAAAATTTTTGAAAAATACCAAAGAAATGCGGTCAAACAAATGCTCAATAGTTCCAAAACCTTTGAATTGGCGGCTGGGAAATCAGAATTCAAGAAATCGGCAGGTTGTAGAAACTTTAAAATTATTATTATGAAGGATTATGATCTTAGCATGTAGACTCTGATACTAATTATTGAATTTAACAATAATCATACTAAGAAATAAGAATCAAAATTCTAAATTGATAGTTTAAGATTCATAACTGCGGAAGATATCTTAGATATGAATATTAGCAGCTAGATTTTTCTCTTGTTGCTCCTCAAAATATTGGCCGTCAATGAGGCAAGCCAATAAAACAATTACGAGAGGAGAGGGGGCCTAACCTTCATATAAAATTTTATTGAATCGTTCCATTAACGACTCTAACCCTAATTGGAGTTTACATATTTTTGGCAGACATACTTAAATTGCCTCATTATACAAGATATAACCTGTAAGATGTAAAACGGTCCAAGTGATCACTTAACATATTGGGTTTATCCACAATATTATTATGAGTCATATATCTAACCTGTAAAATTTGCAATCAAATAGGAAGATCATACTTAGAATTATTCTAACAACATCAACCTTTATTTTTGGTATAAATAATGCCCCCAACTTTAGACTCCCTCCATGAAATTGAAATGAAACAAAAATGGAACTCCTAAACTAACTTAAAAATAGTTAAAATTCAAACTCAATTCTACTCTTCCTCCACTTAGACAGGCCCCATTTATTTAAATAACCATGTATTTCACTCTATACAAACCACTTATTACAACACCTCTCTTTGCTTAAGCATGGACAAGTAGAGCATCTCAATGTCTTCACCAAATTCAATGGTTAAAGTTTCTGCATTTTCTAATATTGTTAAGAAAAGAAAATTAGGGGCGCCATTAGAGAATACTGCAATTATGCTCCACCCAACATCTCTATCTTCTTTGCAGTCAAATCAACTTTTATGCAGTGGCGGATGCAAGTGGTGGCCAGCTAGGGCAGCTGGATTTGCCGGAACAGCCGGGCACTGCTCCGGCTATGATAAATCTGTGATGACAGATTTTCTAAAAAACGCCTAATTTCTTGAATATATGTACAAAACTGAAAAAGTAGAATGGTAAGGTGTGTTTGAGTGAATATTACACAGTGTATATGTCTAGAGAGAGATGGAGAGAGGGATGGGTGATGAAAGAGTGGTGGTGGACGGGTTCTTTATATGGACAAATATTACGGTGGCTGGTGGCGGAGGCTCGAGGATTTGGTAGTTGGCGACAATCATGTGGAAGTTGTACAGGTGCTGCTTCTGTAGATGGGAAGTCGAATTAAAATAAATAAGTTAGTTTTATATAATTTTTAAAAATTTTAGAATTTGTGAATGTAGTTTTATCACTGATTTGCAGACGATTCAACCATTTACATTTGAGTAATGTTTTATAATGAAAATTATCAATAGTCATTCTACATGTCATATATGTGGCGATTTGTAATTTGATAAATGAATCAATAAAGAAATATCATATTAATACATCAAATTACAAAATATTACATATATATCATGTAAGACGATTATCGATATTTTCACTATAAAGTCCAAGAGATTCATTTGCAACTTTTGATGTATGTAAATTGGTACATTTTGCTCAATTTTATCCTTTGGATTTCAATAGTGAAGAGTTTTTATTACTTAGACCTCAATTTGACAAATTTCTTATACTCGTGAGAATAAACAAAGCTTTCTTCAACCTCAAAAGTATATCTTGTATAGCTCTGAAGTTGGTTGAAACTAGAAGTTCTTGTTATTTTCCATTGGTTTATAGGCTGATCACATTGGTTTTGATATTACCAATGACAACTGCAAGTGTTGAAAATGTATTCTCTGCTATGAATTTAATCAAGAATAACCTGCGCAACAAAATGGGAGATGAATTATTGAATGATAATTTGGTTGTTTACGTGGAGAAAGATCTTTTTATAAAACTTGAAAATAAGATAATATTGCAACGTTTTCAAAATATGAGATCCCGTAGAATTCAGTTGTCTAAGTTTACAATTACAGAGTAAGGTTGTATTGTATATTTTTTTTTATATTTTGAGTTGTATTGAATTATATTTTCATCTGTTTATAACTTCTACGTTTTAGTGCATTTACAAATATATATTGAATAATTTTTAATATTATTTAATCAAATTTTGATAAACGATGGGCCGCCGACCGGACCGAACTTTTACGATCGTTGATTGTCGACGGTCAATGGTCAAAGTCAACATCCGTCCTAACTGAACGTTGATACTGGATTCGCCCTACTTTTATGTATCTGTGTCCATGCACTTGTTTAATTTCTTAAGTGAAAATCCGCAAGAGAAGCTGGTTAGACTCTTCAATCTGGAAGAAAACAAAAAATGTCACACTGAGGAAGCACTTGAGTAGGCCAATTGGGAAATTTTGCCTCCCTTTGGTTTTACCATCAGTAGATTAGATGAATTTTCTTACAATTATTCTCACACCTCCATGCTACAATATTTATCTGATTTACTATTGCTTTGAAAAACCATTGGTTTTGGAGTTTCTAGGATTATACCATGAACCATTGAATAGGGTGATGATCATAAGAGGAATAGCCTATTTGATTCATTGTTCAATTTCATTATGATGTATTTTAATGAATTCCACCACCGGTTCTTGATAGGTGAGAAATTCATGTTCAGGTGAATGTTCAGGTGAATTTAACAAAAAATAAATTAAAAAAACATGTTTTGTCAACTTAGAATGTCTTAAAAAGTTGCTTTTATTCTCGTGCATAATAAAAACATCTTTAAAAAGTAAAATTGCTTACGCTCCTAACAATCTTAATGAAACCAAAATAAAAATTGCGAAATTTGATCATAGTTAGAAGTCAATTTAAGTGACTTAATTCATCAAAGCTGAGTCTTAAAGTTATATATTTATTTATTTATTTTAGCTCCATGTGCTCTGATTCATTATTTGGGATTCTGATCCAGGAGCACTATCAAAGTGTTTTAAAGGTGGGGTTATCTTGACGTAGGTCATGTCACCATGAAATTTACCATTCCCTTAATCAGCAAACATGTAAGCGTTGCTAGTTGATAATACGTGCTTAAAAGAATTGAACAATCCATTGATAATTGAAGCAGTACTTTCAACATAAATAAAGCACTGGACAACTTTAGTATAACCCACTCAAGCTTCATCCAAAAGAACGTAAGAATGAAAAATTACATTGAATTTCCTAAATCAAAAAACCTTTTAAGATTTCTTTTCTTCAGAATCACAAAATTTCCTAACGGGATTCTTCGCTAAACATGTATAGACAATTGACTGCTGCGGATAAGTTGCTGCTTGTGCTTATCAGCTACTTATGACTCGTGCACATTTCTAGCAAAAAAATAAAAAAAATTCCCTCGAACCAGGCAAACAAAGATCAGGTCCATTTTCAAGCAGCTTTGAAGCTTTCTGACAAGAGTTCATAGTATCGTATTTGCTGCAACCAAACATAAAAATTGACACAGTTTGAGTTACGGTTCTTTTCTTTAAGGTATATTAGAAGAACAAAAGATAAAAATTCATACAGCATCTGAAACGGATGGAGATATTTTCTCCAGTGCCTTCTTGAAGTGTATTTCTTTGATGGTCCATGGTGCAACATTTGAAATTTTGTTCTGCGAATTCTGCTTATCCTGAAGAGCTGTCATAGCAGCTTCATTCATCTGACATAAACAAAAATTAGCAAACCTTGAGATTGATCATTGTTAAAGTATGAGCATTTGCGTCAAGAAAAAAGGAAAAATAAAACACAACTCCCATTTTCTCACTCGAACCACATTATTGAACTTTCCAATCAACTTGCAACTGTTTATCTTAGTTAAATATTGATGATAATCAAGACCAATTTTGCTAAAATGTCATAACCATCTAAAGAAAATAATCAAGTATGGACAAACCAGTGCGGATAGATCGGCTCCACTGAAATTTTTACAAGCACTATCACTTCCAATTGCCATCAAATCCAAATTGGCATCTATTCGCTTCTTCCTACCAAGAGCAGTCAAGATTAAACCACACTCATTTGGACTGGGAAGAGGGACATATAGAAGTTTCCCAAATCTTCCTGGTCGAAGGAGGGCACGGTCCATGACTTCAGGCCTGGCATTGTATTATCATGATCAGAGATATTAAGTTACACAATAGAAGACTTTTAATCGGCAAATAATTATTCTTATTTCACCCGCGGAAAATCTTTGACAAAAATAACAATTTGTACCTATTCGTGGCACCAATTACATAAACACCCTTTCGCTGATCTGCACCATCTAGCTCTATCAGTAGCTGCAGTGACATGGCTTTGCTTTCAGTTCCATATCTAGTCATATGCACAATAACAGAGGACATAATAGGCAAGAAAGCATTTAACAAGACATTTTTACAAACCTGATTCAAGAGCCGCTCAACAACCCATCCCCCTTCTTGACCACGTCTGGTTGTCAAAGCATCCACCTGATCAGAAGTAGAATAACATCAGCATAATCCCAGTTTCCACCAAGTTCACTGCAGAATGTTACTAATCACCATTTTTTGTTGTTTATACTCAGTATACCTATATTATTTGTAGGTAGATCAGTTAAGAGTTAACAAGGAACTATAAAACCCCTAAACAAAAGGAGAGGATGGTAGGACTCCTAGCTTCTAGCAAAGCATGTGATGTTGTATGTGTAGTTGGGAGCCATACTTGAGAGGATTTTGTTGTTTATGATTGCTCCAAACCCAATCATTGAAAACATAAATAAAACGATGAGTTTCAAGGCCAAAGTAGATCATATTTTTATTGCATTGTCTGGGGGTTTTTGTCAAATTTTGATTTGTCAACATCCATGATGAGTTTGATGTCTGAATATTCTTTAAAAACTCAACGTCACATCCAAGGATTCTTACTATAGCACATTAATTTACAAAAGCATAACTTAGGTATAACCAAATATAAAACCAAATTACATGAGATGAAAAGCGGTCAAGAAATAACAGCAGGAAATAGAAAAGCACCTCATCAAAAAAAAGGATGCACGGAGAACATGTCCTTGCACGACCGAAAATTGTACGAACAGCCAACTCACTTTCACCAACATATTTATTGAGAAGTTCAGGACCCTTGATAGACAACAGAAAATGTAAGAGAGCCAATGGAACTAATTATTAGAGGGAAAAAAAACTTATGAAGTAGCAATAGTTTTCAACCTTAATATGTATGAAATTTGCTCCTGCTTCATTGGCAACTGCTTTGGCAATCAATGTTTTTCCACAGCCCGGAGGACCATAAAGCAAAAATCCTGTCTCTAAATCTACCCCAAATTCCTGAAAATTAACGTCATCTCAAAACCTTAAAACTTGGGATATCCAACCAGCATAGGAGAAGTGGACGTATTCTCGGAAACAATGTCTAAGCAGGAAATAAGTATATGGAAAGAAAGAGATGGCAACTGCCCGGAGGACCATAAAGCAAAAATCCTAACTCAAAATCCACCTCAAATTCCTGAAATCTCAAAACCTTAAACTTGGGATATCCAACTAGCATAGGATAAGTGGACGAATTCCCAGAAACAATGTCTACATAGGAAATAATTATATGGAAAGAAAGAGATGGCAACTGCTCAAGAAATGAAGTAACTGAGTTGGAAGTACAAATAATCCAATACATATGTAGAGAAAAGCAAATTAACCATGAAGGATTTCCAAGAGCATGTCCATTCTTTAGAAAAGAATTTTCTCGAAAAATTTAGAGTTATGGAAATTTTTAGTAAGCATTGCCCATGAACTTAAAAGAAATATCTTTATTAGATTGTTTGATTAGAACATGTAAATTCTGGCCATGATTGTTTGATTAGAACGTGTAAATTCCGGCCGTAAACTTTAAGACCCCGTGGGATTAGTTGAGGTGCGTATAAACTGACTTAAACACCCATGGTCATAAAAAAAAAAATGTAATAGGTCACCCCACGAAAACAACCATGTAAGATTATGTTCATTTCAAATGCAAAAGGAAAGTCGCATTGCATTAATACCTCAGTTTGGGAAAAATTATAATATGATTATAAGGAAGAGTATTGGATCCCACAAAATGTGTGGATAATAAGTATGTAATAATTGTGAATGTGTCATTACAATTAATGTTTAACTTTAAATTATAAGCATATTATAATAGAAGCCAAACAATCAATATATTGTCTAGTCCTTATCGCATAACCAATAATCAATTGCTAAATGAAATTTTAAAGCTAACAATCACCTCATAATCTTCTGGATACTTAATCCGCCTAACTATGTCACGATCGAACACATCCCTGAGTAATTGGAGTCCACCAACATCCTCCCACTTCACGCTTGGAATTGCTGAAAATCCTTCTCTTGTAGAAGAGGATTGAACCATTTTAACAGCTTTCTACAAAAAAATGATGAAAACGTGGGTAGGTAAAAATCACATAGAACACAATAAATAAGAAACAGAAAGGAAATAAGGAGGGAATCGAAAACAATAAGAAAAACAAAGGAAAAATGAATGAACTGATAGCTCTAAGAGTACATATAAATGCTTTCCCATGAATAGACATGTTTTCCCATGATAAGCCTATAGAATAAAATTACAAGTATAAAGGAGATTTTTCTAGAAGATGTCAAGTTGCACAACCTGTTTATACCGAATACATACCAACATGACAGAAGAACTCCAATAAGACTTCAAATCTAAATTCTAGAAACAAGGAACCTACAGATTCCCCAAGAAAAGAAACCAAAATCTAGCCAACAAAAACAAAAAATCTATTTTAGGCACAATTGTTGCAAGACAAATAACAAAATCAACATCTATATCCGTCCATGAGCAGGAAAAAATAGACTTGCACTAGGAATTTAAAACAACCAACCAAGAAACAATACACATTATAAAAGATCTAGGCGAAGTCTAAATGATAAATAAATAAATCCAGTTTGATAACAACGGACGAGAAAGAGGTAGGAAAGGCATATAGAATCAATATACATTCACAGTTTCCATGTTAATTGAATGTTGAATTGCCACATTACCTCAAAATCGGCCATTGTAATGCTGAGCTTTTCCATTTCTTCAGGTGACCAAGGTTGTCTCCACCATTCTTCAACAGTCTCCCCTTCAATAAGTTCTGTAGAAACCTCAACCTTTCGTTGGCCTATAATTCGATTCATTGCTAGATTGCCAGCCTTGTCCGTAAGTGCTACTAAGTCAGCTCCAACGAAGCCTGCAGTAGACTTAGCTATTTTCAGAAGATCAAAAGCACCTTCTACTTTAAGATTTTGAGTAAGGACTGACAAAATATCAACCCTTGCACTTTCGTCCGGGACACCTATATAAATCTCACGGTCAAACCGTCCAGACCTCCTCAATGCAGGATCAATAGAATCAGGCCTATTCGTTGCTCCAATAACGAGTACATACCCAGGCATGCAATCAAAATTCTCTGCAGTCCCACTTCCATTTACAGGTTTGAAAATTCTCGATGACTCGTCCATGCATGACATCAGTTGTGTCACTATTCGTTGCTCCATTACCCTATTCGAAATTTCCCGTTTAGTAGCAATAGCATCGATCTCATCTATGAACACAATGGATGGGGCTGTCCTGTGGGCTTTAGAAAAAAGCTCTCTGATATTTTCTTCCGATGTGCCTGAAACATTTAGCATATAAAGCATCTCAGCAAGTGCGTGTAAACAAAGTCAGGAACAGAACCAAGTTAATTATTGAACACCCCACACGTAATAGACAAAAAGGGAAATTAGTCAAATTGCTACACTAGCAACATCTAGGAGGACAAGATAAAAACGGACACGCATAGTTCTCTGTCTACCATGTCATCATTACAACTGAAATCATAATTAGATATCTAAATGATTTATGATTAAAAATTTGTCATCAATAAAACAAAGAGCAACAACAATTTTACCTGAAACTCCAGAAACCAATTCAGTAGCACAGATCTTATAAAAGGGAACACCAGTCTCATTGGCAATGGCATTGGCTAGCTTGGTTTTCCCACACCCAGGTGGCCCATGCAACAAGATCCCAGATACTGGTCTCACACCAAGGTTTCGTGGCAAATAGGGATGGAAAAATGGCACAATCACCTCCATTTTTAACTCCTCCAAAACTTCACTCATCCCTCCCAAATCTTTAAACAATGGCCCATTAGAGTTATTGTTCCTGATGTCCTTATTTTTGTTATTGATTACAGTCAAACCATTACCTCCTTTAATTTTCAACAACTCAGAGTCATTCCCATATATACGCCTCTCATTCATCAAATTTACCTCCTTGTCCACGTTATTCACAACCTCCATTTCCACAACATTCCTCTTTTCTCCCTCTTTTCCCATTTTCTTTGATTTTTCATTGTAATTGTCACGAAGCATGGACTTCATCAAATCAAACTTGGGTTCAAGTTTTTCCTCATAAATAGCATCTTCAGTCGAAATATCTTCCTCTGATGAGTTGTCTGATTCAGATTCCGAAGTACCATTGCTAGCAGCTGATGCCATTGAAGATGCTGAGCCAGCATCATTTTCAAAATCATCATTAATTCTCGCTGTCCTCTTTCTAATATGCTGCGCTTCTATGAGTTGCAATTTCTCTTCAGCTTTCTCAACTTTCTTTGGCCTCTTTCTTCCTGGAGAGGTCTTTTCATCATCATATTCTTCATTATTATGATCATCCATTTGGTCAAGTATCTGTTGAACCCCTTTTGTGAAAGGCTGGAGCTTGTGGCGGGAATATTCTGGGTAGGTGGAGCGAAGATAGACCACTAATTGATCAACAGAAGTACATTGATTTTTGCTTAACTCAATGCGCCGACGAAGGAGCCGATCAAATCCTTGGCCTCCTGGTGGCCGTGGTCTTTTTCTTACAAAATTCACCTTCCGTTTCTGTTTGGGAGTCATTGCTTTGCTGGAATAAGAAAATACTGGGTAAGTGCAAATATACTGTTCTAACTGAAAAATGAAAATTTTATTAGGTTATCACCTACTCAAAACATATAATTAAAGAAAATAATCAAAAACAATCAAAACAGAAGGTTAGACAGAAGACAGTATGCAGTTAAGAGAAAAGACAGAAGATTCTCATTCTGGTTTTCAACTTAGCCAAATATTTCTCTACATATGTATAGCTGCCCAAACATGCAATGAACTACAGAACCTAGGATTCCTACTAGTACTAATATTTTAAGCCATAGATTATACTACTGGTATTTTTAAGCCCTAGAGAATACTACTAAAAAATAGCACTACTTCAGAGAAATTGGATAGTGTGAGTAGAAACTGCTACTAAGCTAAGCATTGAATGCATAGCAAAATGAATTTCACCTCAATCATAGATTAAGTCCCATTGAGTCTTTTCTACTCTGTTATTCTGCAAAATCTTATAATTGTAAATCATGTTATCTCATCTCATTTTAACAACAGTTAACTCTTTTATGGGGGGAAGAAAATTTTTGTTCATTATACCACTGAGGCACATTTAGCAAATTAGTCATTTCAGGAAGATTTAAAAACTGCGAGTAAGCTAAGCATTGAAAGCAGAGCCAAACGAATTTCACCTCAATCATAGAATCATATTACAGTCACGACAACCAAATGGAATTAACCAGAAATATGGAACTGAATCCCAAGTATGTGAAGATCAGTAAACATTTAACAAAGCCAAAGATATTGCTACGCAAAATAAAAGATGCCTTTCCCCGTTCTGAATCCCATTATCGAAAAACCACAATACTACCACAAAATGAACTTCAAACCCCCCCCCCCCCACCCCGGAGAAAATCAAACCCCCCCCCCCCCCCCCCCCCCCCACAGTGCAAAAAACAGAGATCTAACGTATACTTGCTCAAATTTTTATAAGTCCCAAAACGTTAAAAAAACAAATTAAGCATTAAATCATTATCATATAAGAAGAACCAAACCTAGTTTAGAAATACGTTTCAAATCTTTGTAACCCGTCAATGGAAGAACACGATGCAAGGACACGATCAGCCAATGAATTAGAATATGGAATCAATAACATATTAGAGAAATTTGGAAGAAATCAAGTTTATACGGCAGCTAAGAGAGGAGGAGACGAATCGTTTGGAAATTGAAAGTGAAAACTAGGGTTTTACGGTTTTACCAATTTCAATATATAAATTGTCTAAACCGGGTAAACCAGTAACGGGTCACGGGTTCCTTAGAACCGGCCGATCTGACGGACTTTTTACGCGGTTCTGTAACTTAAAGGTTTTATAAGTAAAATCGAACCGATTTTGGGACCGTTCCCCATTTTTTTGGGATGAATCAGTCGGTTCAATCCAATTTGAATAACGACTGAGGGGGCCAGTTTTTATGGCAATTATAAAACGTAAACAACCGCATCAAAAATTCAAGCCGAAAGTTGTCTAAAAAATGACTATTAATAGAGGAAGATAATCATCAAGAAACACCAGTTTTGAATAAGTTATAAGGAGTTGAGTAAAAATTAAATCATTCACAACAATCAAATTTCAACATTATAAAGTTCATTTTAATAGTCATAAATGATTAAATCGCACCCCATCCACCCCTACCCTATCCTACCCTACCCTATTCTATCATTTAGTGCCCGTTTGATTCTTATTAATGAGGGAAAATAAGGTTTGAATGGTATTTTTAAAAGAATGTGTAATTAAAAAGTAAAGAAATTTTTTTGACATACGTGTAAAATACTTTATTGTGTGAATGTGTGGTTAAAAATGATCTTGTAGCAAATCATGAATTAAATTAATGAGAATCAAACACACCTTTAATTTGAAATCTTTTCAAATCAATCATTGTCGGTCACCCCAACCCCACCAGTTAAATTGAAATCTTCTCAAATCAATTCGCCAGACCAAAAACCCTCTCTCTACATATACATACATATACAAACACAAATATATATTTGCATATAAATCTCTTTTTCTTACTCACTTTTTCTCTCCGTAAACCATTCTCATTATCTTTCTTGTTCAAATATATTATTCTCACTTTTTCTCTCTAATCTCTCTAATTTAAAGGAAATGGGTATTCCATAAATGGGTATTCAAGAAATGGATCCTCTGTAACAACTGAATTTACCACTAAGATTTCAATTTTACCCAACTGATGAAGAGCTCATGGTGCAATACTTGTACGAAAAAAATCGCCAGCCACCATTTTTCTTTACAAATCATCAGAGAGATTGATTTGTATAAATTAGATCTGCGGGATCTTCCCAGTACGTATTTTGTCCTACAATAATGAAATTATTAGTTTTAATGAAGTTTTAGGGTTTCATTTCTGATTTCTGGTTGGGCCTATAGTCTCAGGCTATTTCACTTAAAAAGTGCATTTGATTGCCAATGTTTTCATGGAACATATCATTTTTTCATCCAAATTTTTACTTTTGTGCTGTTTGATTGATATTTTTTTCATGAAAAATATTTTCCTACTTTTAATCACGTAATCAGAAAAATAATTTCATTAGTGGGAGTAGGTTTTTATTTTTCAAATAATTTACTCTCTTATCTACCCCCTCTCTCCCATCTACCTAACAATAAAAAACAACAAGTATAACATTTTCTAAGTTGAAAATAAAATCGATCAAATATATTTAGCTAACAATTTTCATGCACATAATTTCTAGGCAATTCAATTGCCTGAAATTGAATTTCTTTCCAAGTAAATTTCATACTTGCAATCAAACACACCCTTAAATTTGAAGTAGAGGTGGAAGGTGTGATGGGTTTAAGGTGGAGGTGCAAATGATGGTGGTGGTAATTATTATTGTGGATTGGAGGTGAATGTAGTATTTATAGTCTTGAATTTGAGTTGAAGGTGGTGACTGGTGGTGGATTGTGGTATTGGTCTGCTGTATATGTTGATTTGTTCGTGATGACCCTCTATGTTTAAGTATGTGTTAATTGTAATTGGTTGTGGAAATCTATGTTTATTGTGATTGTATGTGACCAAATTAACAGTTATTCATATACGGTCACAATTTAGATTGACCTAGTCACAAACAGTTACATTGAGAAGAAATTTGGTCACATTAATCACAGATAAAACATGTCACAAAAACACAACATTATTGCCACCACCCAATATCCAAAACATTGCTACCACCACCATACATATTAACTCTAATGCACTTTCATCACCTGCAACGCTTGCTAGTGTTAAGTGCAGGTGTAAATGGTGGTGTGATGGTTGGAGGTGAAGATTATATGTTACCTATGACATTCTACGATCAAATCTACTTTAATTGTGATCGGTTGCGACTATGTTTGTCTTTATTGTAACTATTTATGACCAGATCTGAGAGGAAGATGAAGAGGGATGGCGAACATTGAAACGAGTAAATGCATCATTATATGCTTGACAATGAAGATGTTAAAAGGACGAGATTGAGAGTTTGCTGACAATGGTGAAAATGGAAGCGATCCTGAAGTTGATTTTGAGAAAGAAAAGAGGAGTAAGCCGAGAGAAAGAGATGGTGAACATATTACAGAGAGAATTTTTTTTTATAGAGATAGAAAGTTTGTATTTGGAGGAGAGAATATGTGTTGAAAGTATGCAACAATACGATTCGGGTGGGTGGGAACATATGTGGCAATACAATTGTACATTAAATAACATTATATATTTATTAATTTGAATTATCACTTGATTTATGAAAATTATTTTGTAAAATTGTTAGTTGTGGAATGTAATTCTTATAGTATAGTAGTTGTATATTGTTCCATTTTTCCATTCTAATTCATTTTTTAAATGGTTCTTAACCTATTTGATAACCATTAAAATAATTTTTTGAGAAAATTAAATTTTGATATAGCCCGCGTTTGACAAAAATTAAAATTTATTTTTTCTAATTTAAGTTAAAGTCAATAATTAATTTTAACAACATATTTCGTGAAATTCACAACTTTTCAATAACATATTTCATTAAATTTTAACAGAATCTGTTAAAAATCTAATTTTAAATCTTCACCAAACAGAAGCATAATTTTTTCTGAAAAAATGTGTTATTAAAAAGTATTAAAAAAATTTAAATTTACGTGCATAATATTTTGTCCCGTTTGTGCTTTATTTTTCAAACATGCATTTTTTCAAAATTCATTTTCAACCACACATTTTGCTATAAAATAAATGCTCATATTGTCTAGCTATCTCAAGATCAAATTATAACAAATTAGTGCATACTTACTGAAAAATCCACTTTGTTTTAGTTTGTTTCTTAGTTCCTATATTTTGTTTTGACTAAGTTCAGTAGAAATTTCATGCTCCTATTGTTTTTGGTTAACTGAATCAGATAAATAGCTTGCTCTATGCTGGTAGGATTTTGCTAGCAGAAGTTTGTTATCCTTTTAGTATACAAGGACCGTAGTATCTGATTGTAAACAATGTAAAGATAGTAAAATCTTTTCCAATATTTTTCCAGTTAGTTGCTCTTTCTTCAATACAGTTCTTATTTTATTTCATGGTATCAGAGCCTTGTTAAAAGTCCTATTTGTTTCACTTTTCTTGTCAATCGAAGTTGGTCTCGTTGGAGAAGTTTAAAACTCGAACGAAATTGTTCCTTTGCAGATAGAGTTCATTAATGGAGAAAATAACTCTATCATACAACACGGTGTCGAGAAGCTTGCAAGAGGAATTATAAGTACTAGAGAATGTGCATGGAAGCTTAACTTCAAGATCAAGATCTCTAGGAATCGATTATCGGTGTAGATGCAAATATTCGAGCTGAAATCCCTGATAATACCGAAACACGAAGAAAGTAGAAGATAAAATGTGGGAAGGCCTTGTTTGCCTTGAGAACGTCAATTAGCAAGGAGTTTATTGACCGATATTGATTTTCCAAAACAAGTTTGGGAGACTCTTGAAAGGTTATTTTTCAAGACGAATACAGCAAGGCTACAGTACTTGAAAAATGATTTGACAATGACAACCCAAGGTAATATAACAATTTCAGAATATTTTTTGCGAATCAAAAGTATATGCGCCGAAATTTCAAAACTGGACACAAGTGAGAAGATTAGTGAAGCTTGCCCACGTCGATTCTTTATTCGTGGATTGAAAAAAGAATACTCGCCATTTGTCACATCCATTCAAGGATGGGCAACTTAGCCAACTGTTGAAGAACTGGAATATCTACTCTCTAACCAATAGGCTTTGGCCAATCAAATGGCCAAGAACTTCAATTCAGAACAGGATGCCATTTTGTTCTCCAGAAGAAGGGAGCAAAACTCAGAAGATAAGATAAACTGAAAGAATGTATGTAATATTCGCAAAACAATAAACCCATCAAATGCTACAGGTGCTAAATGCTTGGGCACATCAAGAAAGATCGCCGAGTGAAGCTATCTAAAACAAATGCTGTTTGGGAAGATGAAGAAGACAATCAGCTTAATTAGGAGCAATGTTTCAATATGAAAGTAGTAGAAAGAAAGAGCAATATGATCCTCAATAGTCAAACCTGAAGAAAATAAAATACCAGCTAACTATGTTAATTACAAAGAATAATGGATTATTGATTCAGGTTGCTCTCATCATGTCACTTGAAATGACTCTTTATTTTCGGAGCTTCGTCAACATAATGGAGAATGAATCATCATCACAACAGTCAACTCAACTTTGAAAGCCCAAGATTAACTAACCAAGAAGGGGGTGAATTGGTTTTTATTAACTTTTTCGAAGATTAATTTCAAGTTTAAAATTAATGTGCTAACAAATGTAATGATTAAGTAAGTTTGGACAACTAAGAACTCAACTAAAACAATGTAATAATTGCAATGTAAAAGCAATAGGTAAAAGGGATAGAGAATACAAAAAATTTGATTGGAGGTTCGATCCAACGCAATGATCTATGTCCCCTATTACCAGCTCTCCGTTACGAGCAAGACCTTTTTACTAAATTTGATTAACTTATGGTGCAATCCAACCTTCTACAAAGCTTTCGATGACTTACAATTAAGGAGTACAATTCCTTTTACAACATTGAGCTTTTCGAGACCTCAACACAACCTACAATTTAAAATAAAAGAAGGAGATATTACAAGTAAAAAACTTATCTCTTAATAAATGAAATGATCACAATTAAGTATTGAGAGAGAAGTTGGCTTAA